TGGTGAGTCGGGTGGGCGACATATGCCAATGTTACGAAGGAGCTTCCATTTTGCTCTAGGATCAGGAGAGGTGGAGAGTGTCTCTTGGTAATGAAGGGCTGAATTAAGCATATGCACATATGTTTAGCGGTCATCTGACAATGAACTGTTAACACTTCTTGAGCGGTTAGAGCAGTGGCGTATTGAGCCGAAGGTCGTTGGTTCGAATCCCGCTCGTGACACTAACTTTTTCATCTCAACCAAGACCTTACATAAAAAGAATAATTAATTGAAATAATTGTAGTAAAAGATCATTTAGGTGAACTATTGAAGATAAAAAAATTAATAGAACAACAGGTATCGAAATTATTGCAAAAAACTTGGTTGAAATCAGATAGTCTATTTGCTGCCCCGGTAACGTTGGCCTACAAAAAAGAAGAAGGAAAAAATCAAAACTGGTAAAAACGAGAGGATGTAAATTCTTTTCAACGTTCAACGTTTCAGATAACATTAAGTAGCATTAAAAGAAAGCATAAACTATCCGATTTCATCGTGAATTAGATAGATGATATTTTGATTTTTTCTAAAACATTTGCACAACACATTAGTCACTTATCATTGTTATTGATAGCCGTTTTGAAGGAAGACTTTAGATTGAAATTTTTAAAGTGAACTTCGCACAAGATTTGGTGAAGTATTTAGGCCATATAATGAAAAATAATACGGTTTGTCCATTGAAGGATACTTTAATTGCTATAAAGGATTTTCCGGCTCCAAAAGAATGTGTGTCAGTTTTAGGAAAGGTAATTCTTTATGGAAAATATGTACCAAATGTATCAATTATATTAGATCCATTATATAATTTGTTTGAGAAAAAGACAGAAATTTATTTGGTCAGAAAAATCTCAAGAATCTTTTGAGACAATAAAAGGATTGCTTTGTTCGACACCTATTTAACAATCTTTGATCCAGACTTGCGTTTACACAGATGCTAGTACACAAGGGATAGCAACTATCTTAAAACATCCACAAAAACAGCAAAATGGAGAAGCTGATGAGTCAATAATTCTTGGCAGATTTAAGTCAATAAACAAAAATGATTACAAGCCGAGGTGGAAACCGCTAAACTAAATTACGTGACGTAAGTACATTTGGTTTAAATATTTACACTAACTTGCATATGAACATATCTATAAAGACCTTTGCTGATGTATTAAAATTTTTAAAAAAGCTCCTCAGTTTATTTAAAAAATTATAATTTATAATTATTAAAATTACAAAAGGGCCAGGTAAAAGTGCTGAATTTCAATTGTAATAATACTTCGTACGCACCTTTGGAGTGATTACGCAAACAATGTCTGTATGTCAAAAAATACAGTACTAGTAAATACACAGATATTTGTTTACGTACAAACCCAAATCCACAATGGCCTCTTTTGATTTATTTACTTGTTCTCTTTAAAATAATGAGAGAACGTAAATGCGATACAAATTGTATTAATTTTACATATTAAGCAACTGGGGAATCTTATACACATCTGCATGTCAATGAGTGCAAAAACTAGGAAGCATAAAAAGATAAAAAAATCAAAAAAATTTAAAAAAAGCCGGTTAAAATATTAATACACTTCTAATTAGTGTAATGTAACAATGATTATTATTAAAGCTACTTTGTCAAGCCTATAAGGCACCAGGCGTACATATTCAGATGTTCTAATTATCATTAGACGCGTTGTGAGACATCGTTTAATTAAAGATAATTTTCTTTAAAAGGATGACAAGGCAAAGAAACAAGGAATCGCAATAATACTTCGTGTAAACAGGAACATTTACACAAACAAGCGTCTCTATGTCAACAAATCGTAAATCGTTGAAAGACGTTTTGTTCGTGGACCAAAACAAAAACAACTAAAAGGTTCACTTTTTATTTCTGTATTTGTAATTTAAAACGAACAAGCAATTCAAATGACTAGACAAAAAGGGATAACGTTAATGTGCTTAATTTGGGCCAGTGTGAATGTAATTTGTTACCGTGAATGGAGAAACTTCTGCCCCAACAAGTCGAGCACAATTGACCTACTCAGGTCGAGGTGCAGAAAGCCTTGCGGCCACCCCTTTTATCCCTACCCCTATCCATGTAAAAATGGCACAATTCGTATCCAAATATGTTCGAACGTGCTGATTGGGAAGAGGCTCGCATAACGGAAATGGCGGAATATGTAAAAGCAGCTCCGGGAATTTGGAAAATGTGAGATTTCGATAGGGTTTGATCGAGGAGATCCCTAGGTTTTTGGCAGGTGGGTAGGTAAAAGGAGATTGGTTGGTGCAGAGCGAAAGAGGTGAGGATTGGAGAAGGAGATCGGATCTAATCACTGTAGCTATTTTGGTTGAAGGCATGAACCTCGCTTACAATGTCAAGAAACTGAGGTCAGCCCAACGCAAAGTAATTCTGCCAATAATAAAAGGTTTCACAACTATTTCTTTTGGCAGGAATATAGCCAACAGAAATGAAACTTAGCAGCATGATTGAATATTATGAAACACTCCAACATTACATATCCTGAATATGCAATCGACTGCAACATACCCACAAAACTCTGGGTACACCCAGCATAATTTTCGACTTTCTCGTTGGAAACAGGAATACCTTTCTACTTTATATACACTGACAGAAGTAAAATAAATGACGTAACCATATGTGCCTTCGTAGTATATGAGAACGATCAAACATCGGTTATCAGTACACAGTACTTCCATCTCGCAAACTGGTGTAGCAACAACCAGGCGGAAATGCTAACCATTAACAATCCACAACAGGGCTTGGCTGAAAGAACGTAACGTCCAACTACCTGAAAGGACAGGAATGATACGGACTGATACCCAAACAGTCTCTAATAAACCCTAAAGTTCGTACTGAAAACGTAGAAAACATCTGTAGAAATATGGCTGATTGTATACCCAAAGCTGGAGGATCTCTTTGAAATGGGTAAAGGCTCTCTAAGGAATCTCAGGATATGAAGTCGCCAACCGCTTGGCAAAAGAAGCAGCTATGAATGAAGAGGGTGCAACAGTTTTCACCCTTCTACCCAGCTCATACGTGAAAAATCAATGCGAAGAATCCGCCAAGACATTACGGAGAAAAGAATGGAGAAATGCGACCAACAGATCTCATAAAAAAAAATTCTTCGTAACTGTGGATTGGCAGACTATCACTACGCTTCAAAATCACGTACAAAATCACGCAAGCACTCTCAGGACCCAGGAAGAATGCGACCTACATTTGTCGCTTTAGTAATAAAGCTGCTACGATGGAAGCGAGCAGTCATGGGAAGTCCTCATATTCGATTGCACAACTTTATATACATAAATAGGGATGGAAATTCAAAAATTCCTTGCATAACGCCTATCCATCTCATTTTAGGAATGCACTGTCGAAATTTCAGCCTTTTAGACCGAGCGGTTCGGTCTATGAGTTGGATGACATTCGTTTATTAGAGAGACAATATAAAATTTTCCAAAACAATCCGTTTTTGTTTATGTATTCTTTTTTTAAAACAATTTTCTTTAAAAGAATAACAAGACTTAAGGAGAACGTAAATGTGATTTTTTATGGAAAAAATACCAAGGCAGCGAGAAAAGTAAATGTGTCGAACGTCGTAATAAAACACCTGTGGAGTAATATTTACACAAACACCTCAGGTCAACAAGAATGATCTGTCGCCGTTAGACATTCATTGCTTAGAGAAAAAAATACAAAATTGGCCAGAAAAAAAATTTTGTTTATATTTTTAAATAATTTTCTTTAAAAGAATGACAAGATTTAAAGAGAACGTAAATGTGCTTTAAAAAACAACAACAAATCGCAATACTTCGCAGGGCTACATACAATATCCAGGATGCAGACAGACTTTTTGACTTTAACAGAAACAAAGTACAAAACAATTAAATAGACCCATTCTTTGTTTTTTCTTGTATAAGGACTATTAGAGCGATTTTTTATGAAAAAGTTCCCAAGGCAGCAAGAAAAGGTAAATGTGTACGATCTTCGTAATAAACACCCGAGGAGTAATATTTACACAAACACCTTAGGTCAACAAGAATGATCTGTCGCCGTTAGATATTTGTTTTTTAGAGAAAAATACAAAATTAGCCATAAAAAAATTTTGTTTTTGTTTATTTATTCTTTTTTTTAAATATCTTTACAATAATGACAAGATTTAAGGAGAACGTAAATCTGCTTTAAAAAACAAAAACAAATCGCAATACTTCGCAGGGCATCATACAATATCTAGGATACACAGACCTTTTGACTTTAACACAGAGACAAAGTAAAAAACAATTAAATAGACCCATTTCTTATTTTTTCTTGTATTTCTTTTATCAAAAAAATCCCAAGGCAGGGAAAAAAGGTAAATGTGTCGAACTTCATAATAAAACACCTGTGGAGTAATGTTTACACAAAAAAAGAACAAAACACCTGAGACGTGTAGAGAACTAATACTTCCGACAGTGTAGTAACAAAGTTATTATAATAGAGTGAAACGACCTCATAGCGTAAATCGGCTTTAAAATAAAACTAAAACAATAAATCTTTACAAATGCAATATGGGTCTTATCACACTCTCAAGTTGAAGAATGAAGACTATTCACTCTTTTAAAAAAAGCGTCCTTTGAAAAACTGCCAATTTAAGAATATTTTCACTAATAGGAGGAACATCGCAGAATAAACGAGCCTTGTAAGTCGGGAGGGATTATTTTCTTGGATTGGATTTATTTTCGTATTGATAAAAGATTTTATGGTTGGAATTGTAAAATAGTTGTGTTTAATGTGTAGAATATTTAAAAAAAACGCGTTTTTTAACGGATAAAGAAACGTTTTAAACTTAAGATTTGTAATGATGACGTCGAAGGTGGGCCGAACGCACGCGTATTATCTTAAGCTTGATAAGAAGGGTAACACTAATCTTTGGAAAATCGTCTTAAAAAAAATGAAAAAAAAATATTTTGTCAAGATAGCCCACCTGTTCAAGTTGCTGTTTGGATTCGTTTTTCTTCATATCCTTCAACTGAGAGCTGACAACCAGAGACAGACCTTCCCGAGCACAGTGGAAAATGAAATTTTTCATGTAAAATGGGCAGACGTTGGACTCCTTCTCCTCCATAGTCCGTACGATCCTTGGTTCGGGTTGAAAATACAACAGTCAAACTGCCAGCAGCCCGATGACAAAAGAGAAAAAAAATCGAGGAAAAAAATTAAACAAAAACGCGACGAACACCAGTCACGGGTGAATGTAAACACTGATCCGGAGGCGAGGAAGGGAATGAGCCCGTACCGATTCAGGCTTGCCAACGTGAAAACCGTGGATTTCCCTCTTCATTGACAGACGGGAAAAAACTAAATTTCCTCCCCATTTTCCCACTTGACCTTTGCACATCAATCAATGAAAAAACTCATCAATATAACATCATTCAATCACTCAATCAACAAATCAAAATTCTTTTATCTATTTAAGTGTACAAAACTTATGCAATATTTTTTTCCTTTAATCTTCAGAAGGTGGAGAGACTATTAATATTACCACCTAGCATAATATTGTTTTTTCGTTGTTTTTTTTTTTTAAATTTAATAATATAAAAAGCATTACAGCTCTCTGGCCTTGGGTGCAACTCCTTGGCTCCATATAAAGGGCGCTTAGGAATTCCAACCGATATGAAGAAGAAAGAAACAATACGCTTTATTCTGGGGCTTAAATTCTCCATGGTGGTTGATTGGGTATCAGGACACACGCGTCTTGAGGGTAACGCAAAAGAGGTCGACGCGGCTAAGACCGGGGCGTTCAACCCCTAGACTTAACCCCCGTTATCTATCTGGCATCCTGATGCTAAAAATGCAATAAAAACATTATTAAAAGAATAAGGCAACGTGGGTGGGATCGGCAGAGAAGCTCTCGCTCAAGAGCACTGTGATAGGTGGCCCTCGGAGGATCGAACTTGTAGAAGAAGGGTCACCCTCACCCAAGTAAGAATAGGCCATGCGAGATTGGCACACGGACACTTTTGGGCCGCGTTTGTCTCCGACATGTAGAAATAAGCTGCTCCATGTGTCCCACATAATTGAAGGGTACAATTCTTTGTCTCCATATAGAGAGCGCGTAGGAATGCCACGCGGTATGAGAATTGTGCTTGAGCACGGCAGCAAGTATCTGGGTCCTCTGTTTAAATTTTTGAGGAAACAGAGTTGTTTTATTGTCTATAGTACTGATAATTTTGTGACACATGAGTGTTGATAGTGAATGTATTTGTTGTCGTAATATTCAATACCCAGACCTTCAGTTAGGTTAGTTATATAATTTTATCTCTGTTTTAATGAACCTTTCTAATGCGTGTGGTTTCCTAATATACTTTATTTGATAAAATTTTATCTGTTCAGGCGTTGGGAAGATCGTCAGTTGGTTCACTTTTGGGATGTAATTCAAATGGTTGCTGTTAGTATGCAGTCTTGTATATTTCGATAACGTGGTAGTTTCTTTTAAGACCAAATATTCTTCGCACGTACTTGGATGATTGTTAATTATTGTTTGAGAACTCTGGCTGGCTTCTCCACTAGCAGACGAATTTCCTCTAAAGTACATAAAGACTTTTGCCAAGTGGTGGGATCCGGAATACTGACCTACCTGTTTTAAACCAGACCTCAATGTATTAGGATGGTTAGGGATGCCTTAACTCGCGGCCAAAGTTTATAAAGGCTGGTCTATAGTCCGTCGACGCATGAACACTTTTAAGAGCAAAAGGGATTTCAGACATACCCCATTTTCCATGATCCACTCCCAGATATGAGAAAATAATAGTTTTTACGGTACGATTTTTCGGTTCGGATTTGCTTGTGGCCAATAATTAGGTGGGTTTATGATTTCAATACCGAACGTATTGGTAAGAGATCGTAAGTTTTTATTTACAAAAGGGGTGCCATTATCAGTGATCAGCATGTGTGGCGTGCCCCAACAGTATTGGGCATGTTCCTTAAAGCATTTGGCCACGGTAAGGGCATTGGAATTCGATCTATTTGTAAAGAGATCTTCGAAAATTAAAATATGTTTAAAATCACGACTAGACTTAGGTAGGGGTCCGATAATTTCAGAAGATATTACAGACCAAGAAGTACTCCAATTTCTCTGGAACTTATTTCCTGCAGGTTCTCTTTGTACCGGTTTGTGTTGTTGACAAACCTCCCAGCGGCGTATATAGTTTGAGATATCGCGGTACTTACCAGGTCAAAAATAAAGTTATCCGATACGATCGTAAGTTTTTTTAGAACCGATTTGTCCCGAACTTGGCCTGTCATGAGCTTCTAATATTTGTGCCTGCTTACTTTTAGGGACTACTGATTTCCACTCGTCCGGATCATGATATGGGCCTACGAACGGGATCCAACCGATGAAAATGTAAACACCACAGATTTTCCTATCAAGGAATTTTACGGGAAATTCTTTTATCTTTTTGAACTTGCTATTGTACCACACATCTTGTGGATCAGCTTCCGAGATGGGAAGGTAAATCGGGAATGTATTAGGAAGGTCGTTATTTTTGGATGGCAAATATGGACGAGACAGCGCATCGTGAATTTTATGTAGAGACCCTTTCCGATATTTAATTTCGAAATTGAAGCCTTGTAATTCTAAGGACCGACGTGCGAGACGGCCAGAAGGGTTCTTCTTCTTTTAAACTGCTGCGGTCGGTGACTACACTGAAAAAGTAGCCTTCCAAATAAGGGCGAATTTTTTTTCACTGACCACATTACAGCTAGACATTCCTTTTCAGTTACGGTTTCGTGAGAGTTCGACTGGCATAAGCTATGACTCTCTCTGAACCATCTACTACTTGGGACAATACCGCTCCAAGTCCTGAATGACTGCCATCCGCCTGCAGCATGAACGGGATTGAAAAGCCTGGACGTGCTACAATAGGAGATTCAGTTAAGGTGGACTTTAGACTTCCTATAGCTAATTCTAGTTCTGACCCCCAATGCCACTTTCCTTCTTACGGAGCAGCTTCGTTCGTAGCAGCATGGGGGGGAGGGGAATTGGTAGAAAATGTTGGGATAAACCTCCGGTACCACAAAGCTAACCCTAAGAATCTTCGGAGGTCCTTAACATTGCTGGGAGATGTTAGTACAGCCTCAACCTTCGAACGGTCAACTTTTAGTCTATGTTCATTTACTTCTCCTACTTATTGAATATTGGAGTTCCGAACTTCCAAACAGCTTCAGTCATTCATCAGTAAATTCAAAAATTCGGTAACGTGTTAATTTTTACACTTTTTTTAAATGTCAAATAGTGCTGTGGAAATCCTCCTGGAACGGAGGAGCCCTATAGAAATCGATAGAAAATTTTAATAAGCTTTCAGTTGGTCTCCTTCCACTTTGCCCGATTTCTCAACCGTTTTCGAATTATTTGCGATTTTTGGGGAAAAACGAGGTTTTTTATGTGCTCATGGAAAAAACCGACCACTCTCTCACTCTCTCGCTCTCTCTCTCTCTCTCTCTCTCTCTCTCTCTCTCTCTCTAACGATTTTACCATACATAAACCTATTGTTTCAATGCGTTATTCGAAGCCAAACTGCCACACCTGTGAAATGGGAAGGAAGAGTCTTTCAAGAATGCATAAATTTTGAACCGTCATGTTTTAGCAAATTTTACGATCTACAACTTTTGTTCCGAGAACTTTTTCAAAAACTGAATAGGGAACGGACAATTCTTACTTTTTCTTATTTTGACATTTTTGGGATGCGGAATGCTTCTGCTGTCGGTAACCATTTGCCTACTTGATCACGGAAATTCAACTTTAATCTATAACGTTAGGGCAAAGTCACAGTTACTTAAGTAAAGTTACTTTACTGGATAATGTAAAAAAAAAATTATCGAAAACCGGAATTAAAATTTGACAAATCTGTAAAAACTTTAGAAACTGAGATTCCAAATAATCTAACTTGGCATAATCAAGTTTCCGTAGTTACATACGAGCAAAATAAATTCAGGTCTGTACAGTATTATGAAATTGTTGAAATTCAAAACATTTAAAATTAAAAATCAATTATTTAATACGTTGATTATTACTCTCTTTAATAACTGTTTACCTTAAGGCGTTAAAAACTACTCAATCCTTATATGTATCTGTACGAAAAAATAAAACAATTAAATTAATATAATTATTAATTATTAAATTGTAATGAGCCAGTTAGATATTGTACTAGAAAAGAAAAAGGAAATATTGTAATTCCAAACTCAGAACAAAGGGGCGAAGGTCGCCGCAACGGTTAAGTTGACAAGAATATGACTACGATAAGAAAACTTCAAAATGAAAAATAGTCACTAACCCCAGAGACACGCACCAGATCAGACTTAATAATTCATACAAAAGGGATTCTTGGGAACAAGGCTTTAAGTGACTTGTCAGCACGTTTTTCCGGTCCGTTAGTCCTTTTTGTAAGTTCTTACTATTGCTTGAACACAAATGTAAAATATTTTCTGTGTTCCTAAATAAAATAGTTAACGTAGTTGGGTCATCTTCGGTCAGCTCGGTGGTTTAGCCATGTTAAATATGCGTTTTTCGTGTCCATTCTTCAAAGATGAACGAACTGAAATTCGGCCCCCCTCGTCTCACTGCTTGACTTGTTCCATTTTCTTCACTCTTGACACATTCTTCATGATTATCTTCTTCATTCCGGTACCAAATAGATATCTTTAGTCTCTTTACAAACGCGAATGCAACCCTGACATAGTTTCCTGACAGATTTTACTGCTCTTCATTCTGCTTCTCTTATCTCAGACAGCTAGGATTCCTGAATCCTTTCTATTAGGTCGTTCTTCCAGGCTGATATCCACGCAATTGAGAGATGTGCTTAACTTGATGAAAAGATACAAAAACAAGAACCTAGCCATTGTGCCAGATGCCTTATTAGAGCATTAAGCTCAAACAGGCGTCCGCGGTGGTTAGGGCGTCCGACTCGTATTTGTCACGCTAACGGTTCTGAATTCAAATCCCGGCACAGCCCCTGGATTTTTAATTGAGTATTAGTATAAAAAATGTATTGTAAACTGGTTTGATCCCCCCCCTCGTCCGCGACACCCAATGGATAGTTGAACGTCAAGTTCTTCTGTATAAAAGGAATTACTTTACGTTACTAAGCTAAAACATTATTAGCTAACACGATGGTGCTTAATTGCAAAACTAAATTTAATGAATTACGCAAAATAAAGTTAATCTGTTGGGTCCCAGGACATGTAGGAGTAGAGGTAAACGAGAAAGTTGACGCCCTTGCAAGGAATGGAACTGCTATACCGCTGATGGT